TGAAAGCAGGAGAGGAATCGATAAGAAAAAACTGGTAGAACTCTTCTCTGAAACGATCACTCATTTAGATGTCGACCGTGCGGCAACAGACTTGGCATCTATTTTGCCCAAAAATCTTACTTCATTAAGTATGGAACTCACCCAAGAATTTGTCAACAAGAATGTTGTGACACAATTACAACCAAATCGTGGCCTTAAAAAGTTAACCCTTCCTATCGGATGACAAACCAGAAATGGACTTCAGTTATTGAAACATTGGCTGTTAAAATTTATCCATGTGTGACACATCTTCGATTATATCACACACGTTACGGAGATAACTATGATGTTTTGGAGAAGATTTTAAGCAATCCCAATGCATGGCCCAATTTGAGATTTATGGACTGTGTATCGAATGTGAAAGGAATTTTAAAAGTTAGACCAAATATTCGATTGAATCTCGAAGATGATGCTACAGATATCTTGAATGAAAATTGTTGTAGAGACGATGAACGTTCTGCTTTCTATTACAAATGGTTGATTGCTGATCAACCTTTTGATTCTTGGTAATGTATGAAAGAAGAATGATGATTGAAAGGTAAAATTTACAATTTCACACCAACCAAAACTTTATGTTGACAATTAATACGTTCGACACAATTTCGAAGCACTTTCTACATCCAAAAATTGACAAGACAATGACAAGAACCATGTCGAAAACAATGACAATGTGAAAGGACATAATAAATAATGCCATAACAACAATTCACACACTTCCTCTTGTCCATAATCCTTATTGAGACTGGACAATCCTGCCAAACTCATGGACATGGGCATTGAGAATTGAATCAGAACGACCAAAATTAGAATGGGATCATTGGAAGGTAAAATTTGCAATTTCACACTCGCTGCTACAATTCCAATTCCAATCAATGGAAATACAACCAATTTAACAACGACAGAGATGGCAATGGCCAAAGGATGAATTCTCTTGACTCGAAAAAGTTCTCTCAATTTTCCCAATAAATTCCTTAATTTGGACATCACGGTCACTCTCTCAGTATGTGTTGTTGATGTTGTTGTTGATGACAATGTCAAACGACGTCGGTCATCATTTCCTTCTGTTTCTTCCTCTTCTTTCAACAAGGTAAGAGCCAAATTTCCTCCCAATACAATCAACGCTGCAGGTGACACTGCTTGTGCAAATGTTTCACAAATATGTTTCAACGACGACACAAAAATTGGAGGATTTACAATTAGAAATTCCTTTGCGGGTGGAATCAATGCAAGTATGATGGCCAAAAAGATCGATACCAAAGGCGGTGACAAGACATTGACAAGAAATTCCTTACATTTGGGCCAATGTTTGAAAATGAGAAATTTCAACTTTTGAAACCATGTAGAAGGAGACGCACGTGTGTCCATCTCTAGAGATTGGATTGGATGATCATTTGATGTGATTGGAAGGGTTGAGTTTGGTGTTGTTTCGAATACTGATGGATCGATTGGATTTGGAATCGTTGGATTTTGGAATTCCAAATTTTCCAAAAGTTCAATTTTTTCTTCCTTTCCAAGTAATAATTCTTCATCTTGCAATTCTTTCATTGTTTCTTCTGCTTTTTCCATTTCTACTACTACTTTTGAATGCTCTTCCTTGTGGACTGGATCTAAATTAAGAGATTCATTTTCATGAATTAAGGTATTGGAATGATCATTTCTCTTAAATTCTTCTTTCAATAATCGTTCAGCTCCCAATCGAAACGAATGATATCCATACGTGTAAAAAATCAATTCGGTTGGAATGATAAATACTGAAGAAGCAGTGACAGAACTGTCATGAGCTTGTGCGTAGGTCATGTTAAATACTGGATTATTTTCCAAGGTTGAAACTTTACAAAGAGCTTCCAAAAACACGAGTGGTAATGAAACACTGGTATGACAGACCAACGTTAAATTTAACACACTTCTAGAAACGTCACTTAATTTTTCCCTCCATAACCATTTTAGGAATAACAATTTTCCAAAAAAAATTCCCAATAATTCTAATAAAATTCCAAACACAAAAATCATGTACAATTTTCGAAACACCTCTGCCGAAAATGCTTGTGAAATTCCAATAAAAAACAAACTTGGAATAAACAAATTGAACCACAATTTGGATAAAAATCGAATTCGATCCTTGTTGAGAAGTTTTAACATTTTCACACGAGCCATTAAAAATCCGATCGAACATTCGAGTAATACCTCGAACGTGGACGAGAGAGAAGTGAGAAAGAGAGTGAGAAGAGTCATCCCGAGAGGAGACGATTCCGATGACATTTTTTGTAAAAATTGAAAATTAAAAAGAGTTTTTGAAATGAACGATTCAAGTCGTGTCGTGTGGTTGTTTTGGTGGTTGTCAATGAGATTACAACTGTCGTCTCATTCGAAAATGATGAGAGATCGTTGTCAACTCTTTTTTTTTGTGCGTTTTTTTAAATTCTTCCGATAGGTCAGTACCAATGACATCTTGAAACGGTAGCAAACAATATTGGAATCTATTATTTGAATAATAAATAATATACAACAAGTACATCTTGTTAAATTCCAGTAACTTTTCTCATCAAACCCAAAGGTGACATGTATTGTCTCATCTTGTTACTATCCTTAATATTTTTCACACCTTCAATGACACTCTCTTTTGCCTTGGCAACATTAAATTCAATAGCATCCAATAATTCATCTTGTTCTTCAACCAATAGTGCAAAATCTTGAAATAATTGATTCAATTGTAACATGGAATAATACAATTGTTTGATATCTTCATGAGTTTCTTGAGCTAATTTTAACTCAACGTCCAACGTTTGTTCTTGACTTTGTGTCAAATGAAAATGATTGGAAATTAAATCTTGAAATTGGAGCTTATCTTCGAGAGCCATTTGTTCAATTTCCTTTTCAGTAAATTCTTGAACAGTTCCTTTTGGACTGCATTTGGCAATAATTCTGTATTGTCGTTTCACACGATCGACCTTGTCACGTTTACATTTTTCTTGAGAATCGTAAAATCGATCGACGTGTTGCATGAAAAGAGAGACAAGTTTTTTTTGTTGTTGTTCTCGTAATCGAGTGACAGCGTTATCGCCCATGGTTTGTTTGATACCTTCTGTTTCGAGAGTCATTTCTTGAATGGATTGTTGAATTTTTTGTGTAATGTTGTTCGTTAGAGTAATTTGATCTCTTACTTGTCTATTTGAAAAATTTGAAAATTTTAAAAATTAAATGTGAAATTTAAATGTGAAATGTCAATGTGAAATGTCAATGTGAAATGTTGATTTAAAAATAATTCATAGTTGTGTTTTAAACATCATATAACAATATTGAACTTACTTGGCAATTCCTTCTAATTGTTTGATATTTGGTTCTGATGCATATTTTTGAGAAATTTCTTCAAATGTGTTAATATTATCATTGAGCTCACCAAGAATTCTTCTTTCAATATCAGCCTTAATCAAGATTATATTTAAACAAAACACACATGCATTCGAAAATCAGAGATGTTTGATCAAAATTTTCTATAGTAACTACACTCAACTTACTACTTGGTTTTTGAACTTGTCAATATGCTCGTCAATGGTCTCTTCCGTTGTTGAACTCGTCGATTTGTTGTTGGATTTCAAAGTAGGAGATTGACCATTTCCAGAAGGAGAAGATGGGACTGGTGTCGAAGGAGAGGATGAAACAGAGTTTTTACCATTTCCTTGTAATGTCACGTTAATTTTAATCTTTCCCATTTTGGTTTGTTCCAAATCCACCCAAAATGGATCTTGATTCTTTTTCATGTTCAACAAGTCTTGAAGTGTTTTTTCAACTCGTCCCATGGCAACGTCCATCATGAGTTTGTTTTTATCAAAAACGCTGAAACGAATGACGTCTTTTGGATTGACACTGTGATATAGTTATTAATCAATCATTTTGTGAATTCATTATGAAAAGTGTCAGTAATCATTCAAATACGTACTTTTCAAAAACAAATTCTTCATTCCATTCGGGTTCTAAATTTTTGTAAATGACTCTTGTTTTTTGTTCCGAGACTTTGGAAAATAGATTGGGAAGTTTGATCAATGAATCGCTTGGGTTAATGGCTCTACAATTATTGTGTTCATGATGGAGGAGGGAATTAGAAATTTTGACAAGTGACACAAAACAACTTACACAACGACATAGGGATCTGTGAATATTCAATAAATTCAATCCAACCAAATTTTGTGTTAAATTTATAATAATTTTCATAATTTTATCATCATCACGCACCTGATGTTCCGTTAAAATCCTTGCTTTGCAATTCCGCTCCTTGAATCACGCTGACTCGAAGTGTTGACATTTTTTTTAAAGTTGTCAAAGTTCAAATTGGTTCACAGTTTCCAATCAACCAAGGTGTTGTTTTAAATGAAAGTATTTTAAATGGTTACAATTTCTTTTAGAATTTTACAAATTTTGAAAAGTGTTCCATTTATTGAATTATAGAAGATTCGAGATTTTCAAGATTACACAATGTCAAAAGTCACCAAGAAGGCATGGATCATTCCCGGAAGCCATCCTAAAATTGTGAGCAAGATGTTCAAATACAAGTGTAAATGAAGACGTTTTTTCTGTCGTTACATTAAAAAATTAATTTTCAAATTTGGAAATGTGTGAAATTTGTTGCGAGTCATCATTTGTTATGGAACCATGGTTTAGAATAATGTGTTCTCGAAAATTGTTATCATGTACTTACCACTGCCACAGCTGTTGAGATTGAGAAATGTTGATTAACATTTGAATGTCATCCGTTGATCGGAATGTCATTTGACAAGTGGCATTTTCAATATCATGTACAATAATTATTTCAACACTATCATTCCGTAATAACATCATCAGACACTTTCACTTACCCAATGGTGGGAAGAAAATACAGAAAATAATCATCACCAAGAGTTCTGTGTGATTCATTTTTTTTAAATTTGACACTTGACACTCCCATCATCAAACCTGGCTCTAAGGTTTTGAGGTTTTTAAAAGTAACAATCCTATGAGTTGTTTATGAATTCAATCTAATCACGAAACACCACAAACTAGCTTATTCAGATTTCACAAATTCTGCAAATCGATCCAAAGCTTCCCATGCCTCTGGTAAGTCATAATTAAACAAAAACGGATAATCATGACACATGTCACGACCCACCAATTCAATATATTGCACACTTCCTGAATTTTCCTGTTCTTCAATTTCAATTTTCAATTCTTTCAACATTTCCGAAAATTTCATAATTTCCTCTCTCAATCGTTCTCGATCTCCATAATTCAAGAAAATTTTCTTATTTCTAATCATTTCCTTCAATTCACGTTTTGAAAATTTCAACACTGAGAACTCGGATGGATCACTCTCGAATGGCACCTTTCCTTCTCGACAGCTCAATAATAAATTTCGAGAAAGCATCATTTCATTTCGATTCAATTTTTCAAACACACTCTCATGCGTCATTTCCAAATCACACCAAGGAGAGAGAATTAAAAATTTGTCCAATTGAGAATATGGAATCCTATTGTTATTGCTGCTGCTACTACTGCTGCTATTGCTACTACTACTATGGTTGGAATGATTTGAAAGTTGTTTCATTAAATTCAAAATTAAATTTCCTCCAGCAGAATCTCCTCCCAAACACACATGTTGAGGTTGCAACTGTAATTCTCTAAAGGCAAAGATCAATTCAGCCATGGCATCCGGGAAGATTTCTCGGAACGAGTGATCCGGTGCCAACACATAATCAGCCATATAGACATTAATGCCATAACGACGAGCGAAGGGAATGAAAAAACCAGCATAACTTTCGGGAGAACCAAAGTAATAACCACCTCCGTGGAAATAGAGGAGTGTTTTTCGGGGTGTTGATGATACTGGTTTGGAAGGTTCATTTTCATCCGAATGATAAATCCATAAGGATTTTAAATTGGGTCGTCGAGAAAAGGTCTTGATTTGAAGAGGAGGAGTGGAATGTAAATTTGCATTTTCCTTAGGTGGTGCGACAGCAACAGATTTGCCTTGTTGTTGTTGTTGTTGTTGAATGGTACATAACGTCAGCGATCGTTCATAGTCATATTGAGAGAGTACGGAACGCATCATGAAATTCAAATATTTTCTCATGTGAATAAAGTCAGAGCGTTCGGGTAGACGAGAAAGATCGGAATCATTGATGGCAAAGGGAGAGACCATGGAAAAGAGAGCTCGAGCTTGAGGAGAGCAGTGAGTGCCATACAGGTGTTTGCTTGAGAACAAGTATTGCTCTTTGAAAAGGAATAGTTTGTGAAGGAGACGTGTCAGAGTGTGGAGTGGAGAGGTTGTCAGCTGTTGCCAATGTTTCCACACCTGGTAAAGAAGGTAGGCGAGAATGAGACAAGCAAGCCATGCTGTGAGAGACATTTTTTTGTTTGTTGTTATGATGTTGCTCTCTGTCATTTTGTCAACTTGGCTTAAATCAAGTTTTCAAATAAGGTAATGTTGCGCCTGACATCGGGAAACTCCTACCATAACCTTCCACATCTGGATGGATTACAACATTTATTGGTCAATGTTGAACATACAAGTAGATTACAAATTTCTTTGGAATGCTAATTGATCTTCCAAGTTTTCATCCATTCCGCCTCTCACAGATGAAATGCTGGCAGTGTCGCCCAATAGTTCTTCGACAGATAGATTTAATGCATCCGATGCGATACCTTTGCTCAACGCAATTCCCATAGTGTTGAGAGAATTGGAGTGTTGTCGAACTTCAATTTTGAGTGTCTTGATTTCTTCATCTTGCTTCTTATTCATGTCTCGAAGTTGAGTAATGAGTTTTTCCTTTGCAAGGTCCTCTTGTTCAAATTGTTGCAGTAAAACTTTCAAATCATGAACTGTAAAATGCCATGAATAATTACATGTTAATTTAAACACTCAATTACTTCCTCACTTACCCTCTTGTTGTAATGTCTTAAGCTCACAAATTTTCTTCCAATACTTGTCAGCTCTGTCTTTAGTGTCCTTGTACTTATTCATATACTTGAGAAGAACCTGGTGAGTTTGTTCTAACTCAGATACTCGCTGTTGCTCGTCCTTTCTACTTTGGGCTAGGTCCTTTTCCAATTGAGCAATGTACTTGTTGGTTAGTTTGATGTCTTCAGGTTTGGTTGATACTTTGCTTGGTGTTGGAGGAGAGTGTACAACAACAGGAGGCTTTTGCTTCTTTGCTTCCTTTAGTTCAGCGTTCAAGGTTTCGATTTGAGTCTTGTACGATTCAACGTCTTGTTTAAGGGCTAGATTCTCTTCGGTGAGTCTTAAAATTTCTAATTGAATTTCTTCATTGTGTCGAGAAGATGGAGTTTGATCTTGCAACTCTTGTTTCATTTTCTCGATTTCTTGTAATCGTTCATTGGCGTTTTTGAGTTTTAGCATTAAATCTTCGATAATTACATCTTTTTCGTGAGCAACTTCGTCACAAGCGCGTTCAAGCTTGGTACAACGCTGTCTGTGAGGCTGGTCAAAAAGTTTAGATGGAGCAATACCTGTAGTAGCGTTCAATGGTTGATCCGATGAAAAGCAAGACTCTGGATACACTTGTCCATAATCTGAATGGTTCTGATTCACACCAAACATCAGATCAATCCATTTGTGTAAATTCTTGGAGACATATTCAGATTCGAGTGCCTCTTTAGCCTTAAGAACAAAATCTTTGGCATCAATTGCCCATGGTGGGAGCTCTACATCTCCGGTACCTCCCAATGGTAGTCCTTTTGAATTTACCAATATTGAGCCATTGCCGTCGTATAATTCGGGAATTGCTTCCTTTGGATCCTTGCCATTAAGAATATTGGTCCAAGTGGTTTCTACTGATTTGAGTAATTGGTGGCCCTCCATAAATCTTCCATCATTGAAATGAATCATAACGTCAGGGTAAGGTCGAACAAGGTAGCTCATTGCAGACGAGTAATTCAAACAGAAATTGTTGCAAAGTGGTCTCTCCAGTTTGCTTGTAATTTGTTCACTGAGGCACGCTACATGTTTTCCCAAGTCCCTGAAAGAAGATGGCTCTTCCAAATTCAGTGATTCACTACTCGTGTCTGCAAAAATCCATGGGAAAATTGGATAAAGATGCACATCATTTTGAGTTCTTCCAGCCACTCTGTTCAATGTTGAGAGGTAATCAAAATTAGAAATTTGACCATTCACCCACAATTGCTCTTCTCTTCGAAGTAATTCTTCGTTTGATAATAGATTCACTTGGCTCTGTGCAATTTTGTCATGAATTTGATTTCGTTGATCTTCGTTGGTGAAGATAAATAGGCAAGAGGTCTCGTTGTGCAAATGCAAGATTAGCCCCTTTTGACCTTGCAAGTACTGAGTTTTGGACATGGACAACACGCTCGATGAAGACAATTTCATGATGCGAGGCTCTCCGGCGAAGGAGTTGTTTGCAACAAAGTAAATACGCTTATCGGTAACAATAAACTTGCCTCGTGCTCTTTCAAAGGATACACACATGGTTGCTGGAAGTGTGGTTTGTACTTGCTCATCCATGAGCCATTCAGTCTTGAAAGGTGTGTTTTTCTCGCTCAATTCCAGTAATTCAGAGAGAAGAGTTTTGGAAAGAGCCTCATCATTGCTCTTTTCGGCAGCTGTCAAGCGTTGCATTCTATCTAGCAAATCCATGACAGTATTGAAGGAATCTTTGTGAACTCCAACCACAATTTTGGTAATCTATTGAGGAGGAATTTGGAACCACAGTAAAATTAGTGATAGCAGTATACAGTTGTAATGACGAAACCCCAAATATTAGTACAAGTCCGTGAAGCAACTTTAAACACTACTCACCGTTACTTTGGAATGATCTTTGCTATCGATCAAACAGACTCTAGCTGTTGTGATTGCGAAAAGAGAACATTTCACGGAAAAGGACTTGGAGGTTGTTTTCTTAATATTTGAAACATCTTTCATGGAAATACGATAGACTGGCAAGGATGAATCATCAGGGCAAAACATGATGGACTTGGTTGCCAAGATCAAGTGGCCTCTCGGATGCTCCGATTCACTACTGCTGACCTGTACATAGGTGTTTGTACTAGGTTGAATATCAAGAACTTCTTCTCCTTTGTCTAGATAGAGAGAGGAAAATCTAATGCTTGGTGCTTTAGCCTTATAGAAATCTGGCATCATGATAGAAATTTTCGGAATTTTGAAACATAATGGCAATACAAGAATGATGATTCACGGATCAAAAGAACGAGGTAGAGTTGAACAATTCTACTTTCAACCACCAGAGCCACCTCTACTACTACTTACTGAGCATATTTGTTAAACAGTGATTGTGTTGGTGATGTGTTGAGAATTTTTTGAAACAGCCTCTTGCCAGCAGTTCTACAAATTTGGCGGGTACCATGGTACCCAATAGATATTGAAACGCTACTTTTATGTCTGATTAGGTTTACTAATATTTAGCGATTGAATTGTTAATGATATCATTGTGTTTTAGTATTACATTATTGTCTAGATGAGTAGTGGACTTTCCATTATTATTATCATCATCACGAACACAAAAAATAATGAAATCATTTCATGAATAAACTACAAAAACTCTCTTGTTTAGTAATAGGAACCTTTCATATAATTTTTAGCCTTGCGTTTAAAGTCTTCAAATTGATCGGTATAGTGCTTGGCAGCATCAAGATCAAGAGGATCATCGGGATTTGGTTCGAGGAACAGGAAGTGAAGACCAGTGAAAATGGCGTTCAAATTCAAAACAGGTTTCCAATCGGCTCTCAAAATGTTCAAACAGACGGCACCGTTTTGGTCAATATTTGGATGCCAGACTTTTGTTTTACAGATAACCTTTGGTGGTTTGATTGGATACTCGTTTGGAATGTTAATTTCGAATTCGTGTGGGTGACCCTTCCAAATTCCATCATCAGGAATGAGTGTGAGAGTCATCTTGTTGAGTTTGTTGGCGTCTTCAATTTTGAGATTATCAGACCACTTCTTTTCCAATTCGTCGAGATCTTTCTGGACACGGATTTGATAACCAGTGCTTCTGCCACCACCCTGAGAGATGATACCAGTAACACCAGCAGTGGCCTTTTGGTCTCCGCCAGTAGCGTTTTGTTCCTTCTCCTTTTGCAATTTTGCCTTTGAGAACATTTTTTCGTCGTCAAGAGAGAGTGAAATTTGATGGGAAATTGATGACGAGTTTTTGAGTTATTTTTTTTTTTTGAGATGTATTGCCTACGAGTTCATAGCAGACTATTTTTATCGTTTACAAATTCAACCTGACGCTGAACCATGATAACGAATCCAAATGAAACCAGTTCACACAAGTCGCAACGTGTTTATTGTTCTCTGAATAAGTTAATTGAGAGGATGTTGAAAATTGTGCCTACTAATTAAAATAAGCTTCCTGAAGTCAAAAAACCAGAGTTCTCAAATTCATCCCACTCTGCAAAGACAGTTGAAAACTCCTTTGGGTTGCCAGCAAGCGCTGCAAAAGAAGGGCTACTACATGGAACGGCAGCTGGATCAAACATATTTCCAAGTGCTTGGTTGCTTGTTCGAAGATGATTGCTTGGTGTTGTCGAAGAGCAAGATGACATGACCATCATATGATTCAAAATGTCTGCATCAGGATTCGTTTGAATATTGAACAATTTTTCTTCGAGTTCAATATCACGTCTCACAAAATCGTCAACTTCCTCTTGACAAGGATCAAAGTTTTCAGCCTCAGCACCACCACCATTCACAATTAAGGGTTGAGCTATTTCAAGCTTACATTCGAATGGAACAATGGCAGTTCCTTCACACAAAAGAATCTCTTGCTGGTCAAAGTGGTACACAGACTCATCCATCAAATCATCGTGGCCAGCATCTTCGAATGAATCTCGATCAAAGCTATCTTCTCTCTTGACAGCACGGAGAAGTTGGTGAGGAGTCAAATGTTGTTGTGTGGGCGACAACGCTTGGAAGTTTAACATTGGGAATGGATCTTCATTGCACAACAAGTCTCCTTCACTGGACAAGAATGCACTCCATGTACCTGTACACTCAGGTTGTTTGGTATTGTTACCATTGCTACTGGCATTGGAGGTGCTTCTCTTTTTTCGGGCCTGTGTCTTCCTGGTTGATTGAGGTTGTGAGGGAGCAACCGTAGAAGATGCCTCAGTAAGAGTCTCTTTCAGCTTTTGAGGAATGGTCACATTAGAATTGCAAGTAATGTTCGTTCGAGAGACTGGTCTACCCTTTCCCTCTTGCTCGTACTTGCGCAGCATGATCCATCGATGGCGACACTGAATATCGGTCCTTCCAATGAACGAATCGGCAATACTCTTCCAAGCGCTTTCTCCAAATTCACGAACCTTGTCAATGAGCATCAAATCTTCTTCTTCACTCCATGGTTTTTTACAAATCTTGGGATTGAGCACTCGCCACCAGTGTTGATTACATTGATCACTGTTCTTGGTACCCACCATTTTAGCAATTTCATTCCACTTCTTTTCACCATACTTTTCGATGGCCTTGATGAGCATTTCATTCTCGGTTTTGGTCCATCGATTGCAACTCTTTCGTTTTCCAGAGGATTGCGCAGTGCTTCCTGATGAAGAGCTGCTGTCATCTGAGGGTGATGAAGGTTCGCTTTTTGCTCTAGTTCCTGATTTGGTCGACGATTTTCGTTTGGTTTTTGATTGCTTGGTGATGGAGCTTAGATTGAGTTTAGGGAGTGAGGATGACTCTTGGTCGTTGGAAACGTTGTGGATTGGTGCTTGAAAGGATTTGAGAGAAAAGTCGTCCCTTGAGATCGGAAGCGTTCTATTTGTTGTAATGTTAGCGGTAATGGTGGTTGTGATAGAGGATGGTGATGATGAGAGAATAGCGGTGGTGCCTTTGCTGTGTTGCAAGTGTCGTTGCAAAAACGAAGTGTGGTTGAGGGAGTTATAGAGAACAGAAGCATTGTGCATGGCAGCGTTAATGGCTGAGAGCGGTGATGTGTTGCCCGTCGATGACGATGATGATGATGAAGATGGTGAGCCTTCCAGTGTATTAAGGCTTCCAAGGGTTGTTGATTTTACCATTCTTGTACAATTTGGTGTTCGTAAAATGCCGAATATAATAAGGCTAGTGGTGGATGGGGTGGCGTTTTTGAATTAGCGTGGTATATAAATATTGCTTCAAGGCAGCCTTGAATAATAATAATTGAGAATAGAGAATGAAGGTAAGGAAGGGGAATAAGTGTGTACACTTGCGTTGGAGGGTTCCGTTGTCGAGCGAGAGTGAGTTCCGTCGTGATGAATGGCACCAGCAGTTCGAGATGTCTCGCTAGTAATGGCAGTTGTTGTTCGTTTTTTTGTGTTGTTGAGTTTCCAAGGCGGGCACAGATGGTTGCTGAGAAAGAGTTTTGGACCATCTCTCGTTAGCGGCCGTTTTCGGTTAATAAAACTGCAGTTAGTGGCGGGAAATGTTTTCAAATTTTGGCGGTAGAATTTTGATGCCAAACCCTCTTCATTCGAATGATCTGAGAACATGTTGTTGATCATGATGGCAAGATACTCCCATCTCTCCTCCCAATTACAACGTCTTTCGTAACACTTTAAAGAATGTAATACTCGGTTGCGGGAAGGGAATTGTTGTGTAAGAGAGATCGTAAGAGATAATTGAGGATGATACTGCTGGAATCATGCTTTCAAACAATTCTGCAACACTGTCATGATTCAAATCGCCGTACGGCCAGGAAATTTGATAAAAAGATCAAGGCGTAATGACCTTAAACCTCCATGCAGGTTCTGAGTTGGAAGAGGTACACATTGTATGCAAGAGTCCAACAGGCAGACAATCCATAGATCAAAAAAAAGCTAATTGAGAAATGCCAAATCTCTTTGCAAACATGAGAAAGGAAAATATATAGAGAGAAATGTCATTCTCGCACCGAATTTCCCCTTATGATCTTGACTCATCCGCATGCGAAACCAATTAAAAAATCCATCATTAAAACCCCAATGCCAGTAGAAGAACATTCTTGGTGTAGTGAGCAAGTGATTGCAGCACTTTCGAGAGAGCCAGTAGGTACTGAACTCGCTCAACAAGTGGCTCAAGCCCTCAAGAGTGGTCGTTACATCATGAACGGACACAGGGATTATTGTGGGGTTGGTCTTGTGTACACAACACCACAAAAAGTCTTTGAATTTTGCTACGTGAATGATGGATTTAACACAGATTCCATCATTTCCTTCTCTGATGAGAATGAGTTTATCAAATTCTTGTCCGAGCAAAGTGATTATTCCATGAGCGGAGCAGATGAATCGAGTGCTGTATTTTACGAAAAGAATACCTTTGGAAGGAATAATCAACGCATTACTGTGGCTAGACTGGAACATTTGGTGGCTACCAGTCGTTTATAAAGGTAGATTCATACATTTCCAAATAACTGCACACAGTAATTCAGTAATTATGAAAAATTAGGCAATGATGATGATATCATTGTGCGCTCCGATCAAAAAACGAAATCTGGTGATCCAGACGCGATGATTGATGAAAATTGTTGATGAAAAATTTTTATTTACCAAATTAAAAAAATTTCATGTTCAAATTATCATTGCCCCTTTCCAAAGTGAACAACAGCAACAGCGAGGAAGGAGTGGCGGTTGATCGTGGTACTTCTTCTTCTGATACAACAACAACCACAAATCATGAAAATTCCAACTCCACGTCCGTTCCAAGCAGCACAACAAGTAATGGCATTACTATTCCGCCCGTATCATTATCCAATTTGAAAACCGTCATCTCTTCCTCGTCAGACAACAACAATGACACGTCCTATGATGATGATGATGAGGAAGATATCAAGGACTATGAAATCTTCTCAAATGGAAAATCAGCAAGAGGTACAACAACAAACAGTAGCAGTGCCTCCTTCTTTTCTTCCATTTCATTTGATACTGACCCAATTCCAATTGAAGCTATGAGCAAGTTGATTGGATCATCCCCATCAACAGGCCAAGACGCAACTCTCTACACGAGCAATATCAAATTATTCGAATGTTTTGATGCTACCTCATCATCCCACAAGAACTCTTCGGACAAGGTCTGGAAACGAGAGTTTAAAACAAGACCTCTCCATAGTCTGGTCTCGAGCACAATATCATCATCCTCTCGCTCCTCACAATTCAATACAACTTCGTGCTATATTGTTCTCCACCTCTATCATCATTCTCACTTGAACTCGACAACATCACCACAACAATCCAACAAACATGCCTTCCCATTCGCCACTATTGACGAATCATCGACTCGAGATGAAACTAACTTTAGACTACTCGAACAACTCTTCACAATTGGCTCTCTAGATGGATCTAATGGCATGACAGATTGTGCCTTCACACCGCGTGGTTTAGAGTATCCATTTGCTAGTACCCGATTAGACTCCTCACAACACAACAAGTACCTCTTCGATCTCTATGTATGGTACGGAAAGGAGTCAAGTGAATTTGTCAAGAGCAGAACCATTGAGAGAGCACTCCACTTGGAATCATTGTTGCAACAACCTCATGCTGTAGAGCAGTTATTCCACTCTGGAAAACCACAATCATTTGACGATTTGGTACTCAAAACAGACGTTCGAAACAGTGTCGCAACCTCTCAGTCACCAGAAACCTCAACTACTGCTTCATCATCTGCCACATTGTCAAGTCTTTCATCGAGTGCTTTGCGTCATCATCTTTTAGCTCGGATTAAAGCCATGATGAGAGGCACAACACAAAAATCATCGAGACATCTTTTTGAAGAGTTGTCACTTCTTTCTCCTGACGAAACATTTAATAGCTCAGACGTTGATAAGCTGGGAAATCTTCTCCAACTCAGAAAGAGACCAATGGCTGGAGTAAGTAAGGATGAAGAACATGATTCACTTGAATCACCACGAAAGAAGGAGCGCACTCAATTGAGTCCTCTCAACACGCGAGATGTAGAACATGTGGAAGAACCAAAAGTACTCAGTGGAAGAGAGCTCGCCAAAGCTTGTCATTATGTTTGTTCCAAAATTACAGATTTTCTTTTCCTAGGAAGTGCCGCCGTTGCACAGGATAAGAAAAAGCTCAATGACCATGGAATTACGCACATCATCAATTCTGCTGCTAGTGTTTATTGTGATAACTACTTCCCTAATGATTTTACATACTACTCACTAAGTTTATATGACGATCCAAACGAATCTATTATTGGTTCATTTTATGGAGTTATTGAATTCATCGAAAATGCAATCAAAAATGGTGGAAAAGTTTTTATCCATTGTCAAATGGGAGTCTCACGATCTTGCTGCTTGACCATTTCATACATGATGTGGAAATATAAAATGTCGTTTGCAAGAGCTTTGGACGATGTAAAACAAAAGAGAGCTTGCTGCTCTCCTAATGCTGGCTTTTTGGTTCAACTTACACAATGGGAAACAATATTAGGATTAAACGAGAAGGCTAGAAAGGAACCAAAATCCTACCTCTACCGTATTAGTCCTCTGAACAACTTTTATGCAATCCACAAGGAGTTGGTACCAAAATTGTGTCACAATACGAAAAGTTTGGATTCAAGAACTTGCTTTTTACTTCAAACCAAGTATGACCATTGCTTCTTGTGGATTGGTTCCAAGAGTGCTGATGAGTTACGACAGGCTGCCGAGAAATTTATTGGAGTTTTAAAGTCATACTCTCCAATTGTCATTAAGGAATGGATTCAAATTCAAGAGGGACAAGAAACCGAAGAATTCAACCAAGCTATGGATACCTTGGAAATTGATCCAAGAAGAATGAACAATGCTTCTGAATATCCAGATTTAAAGTATTTGCAAATGACTCACGAGGAAGCAATGGATCTATTGCGTCAATTAAGAAATGTTGACAAAACTGTCGATTTGGAAGCAGAAAAGGAATTGAAAGAGTACAAGAATGGTACCCTTTTCAGCTTTGATGATGGAAAATTCTCTGAATTTGACTACTTTGACAGTGAGGATATTTCTGACGATATGTGTTACGTCATGCTTCCCGAGAATGAACCAAAAATTCTTGTCATGATTGGCTACGACGTTGACCTTGGAGATGACAGTGTCGATGATAGGGGAGAAGAAATTGGTGAATTGTTCATTGAATGGAAAAAACTTCCAGAGAGCACGTCGATTCAAGTTTGTGAAGAAGACGACCCTGAATTCTTCAGATACTTTAAGAATGGATAACGACCCTTCTTAGATTATGTAATTTTGTAAATTAATGTTAAATTAAATGACAACGTTGTTTTGATTGCATGGTTTTGATTGCATGGTTTTGATCAGTCAGTTAAACGTCTATCAAGGAAAAAATAGATCCCGCCAACGAACTTACAGAAGTCAAACAAAAAAATGCATCAAAGCATCTCCTCCTCATCATCGACTCGTGGATCCTCACGAAATCCGAGAAACATGATTCAAATACAAACTCAAGATATTCATGACATGTTTTATGAGCTGAGAAGAACGGAACAACAAGCGGACGAAAAGTTTTTCGTGAGAATGCCAAAACTCATTCAAGCCATGCAAGAATTGGCTCAAGAACAATATCGAGTTCTGAGCGGCTACAATTATAACGCTCATGTTCATGATAATCCTTCCATTCGAAATGAAATTCAAACATTAAGGAAGCAAGAGAATCGGGATTTGCAGCGAAAATTAGAAATTAAACAACTTTCAAAGCAAATCAAAAAAGATCGTAAGAGAATGATTAAAGAAGAGAAGGAGAGAGAACAATGTCTTGACAAAGAGGATAAACATTTTGACAAGTCAACCTCCACCACTGTCAAATACCGAAACGGAAAGAAAATGGAAAATTTGGGAGAACATTGCGAAGAAAATGGATTTAGAGGAGATGTAGAAGGAGTGTATCATGAGGTTGAATTTGTGAAACGAGGAATGGCTCCTCCTGTATTGAATGAATGGCCCACCAAAAGGGAACTATCAGCTGGTGATCCTCAACAACAAGTTGACAAAAACGAATTTACTCCATCGTCTAATTTATTCGAACAACACCGTAGGGAGAGAAAAATTAGAAAGACGCCTAACATTTATCAAGCAAAAAGTCTTTCCAAAAAGAGGTGAGAGAGGTTTGAAATTAATTGAGACTGTTCAGTATGAAAAAAATGTCCATTTGGATTGCTGGATTGATTGTATTGGTTTTAGTAGCGTTGACTCAATATGTGAGAAAAATCCTACAAAGAAACAAGATTAACGCTCTCAAGAGTGATTTACGAAAAAAGTCTCGATTGAATATTGTCATTACAGGTAGGATCGAACATATGTTGCGTCGGATCAATCCAAAATTTTGATCTTTGATTATTGATTTATCACTAATTTTATTAAAAATTAATAACGATACATTAATTCCATGAATCGATGGATTGAACATTATGATGATGACAATGGTTCACTCGGATTTTTGCTTTCATTATTTTTTTAAATATGGAATTCATGAATTTATTTTTCAATTAGGAGGATCAAAGGGACTCGGATTTGCACTCGTCAAGGAATTTCTTCGCCTCAATGAAAACAACCATATTGTGTTTTGTGCCACTTCACCTCAATCCATCGAGAGTGCTTTCCATCATCTAGAAACTGAAACTGGCCTCAATCAACAAATTCTTCAAAAACGAGTGTTTGGCATTTCATGTGACATTTCCAATTACGATCAAGTGAATACAGTTCTCATTCCTTTCATTCAGGAAAAATTGAATCATCACGTTGATGTGTGGATTAATAATGCAGCGAGTGGAGATTGTCGAAAAAAATTGGAAGAAATGACACGTAAAGAAATTGAAAAAATTGTCAATGTGAATACTTTGGGAACCATTTATTGTGTTCAAGCAGCGATTAAATTCATCAAGAATCAATCTGGAGAGGGTGGTCATGTCTTTGTGATGGAAGGATTGGGGAGTGATTATAGAGCTTCCCCTGAAATGTCTATTTATGGAATGACCAAAGCAAGTTATAGACAATTTGTAGATACTTTGTGTGAAGAAACCAAAGATACCAAAGTGGGAATTCATAGATTACAACCAGGTAGGTTTCGACATGCTTATTACTTATTTTGTAATTTTAATATTTCAATATTTAATTCGAAATATTTGATTTTGACATTTTTCAAATTATAATCCACCCACCCTGCATTTTTCAAATTATTTTTATACTCCACACAAGGAATGGTCATTACAAGAATGCTTGTCACAGACAAGAACAAATTGAACGATCGTGTGAAACGAATTTTCAACATTCTAGCCGAGGACAGAGACGTTGTTGCTCGTTATTTATGTTCTGAAGTTTCCAAAACACGTGGAACCAATACGTATTCTCCCTTTCTCACCAAATGGGTCGTGTTGTATCGTTTCTTGACATTTTTCGCACGAAAGAATCGATTTTTCGATAAAGATGGAAAATTGAAAGAACAGTATGCCAACCAATGGTGACAAGGACGTTTGTAAAATTCTGTGGTTTCAATTAAAATCTTCTAATAGAATCTAAAAATCTAAAATTTGGTCATCATGGACACAGTGACAAGTACTAAGCTTGAAATTCAATGTAAAAACATAACACTCTTCACAGATGAAAATCTGCTTAGAATTAGAATCTAAATTCGAAAGTAATTTCACTCTCCATTTCATCTCAAAAAGCTCACAATTGATTTCATGAATAGAAAAGCAGTGTTTCAAAAAATATGAAAGCTTGGATCCTCTCGGCTTTTGCGTGTTTCATCATGATCGTGATGATGGTCGGCAGCGGATGGTATGATGTATCATGTGCTGCTGCTATTGATCATACCAATAGAATTCTTCCATCCACTACGACTCCATATTATTTGGCACATTTACATCCACTTGATCAAATTTCATCCAGTTGGTCTTTTTATTGTAATGTTCCTGGATCGAAAGTTCAAGACCACTCGGTACGAAATGCTGGTTCCGATATTCGACTTGTTCCAATGAATAATGTTTATAATTTTCAAGTGGGTATTCAAGGCGCAGAAGTTGGAAAAATTCTTGATTTGGGTACTGTGGATGATTTGGTAAAATCGTATGGTTGTGATTTGTATTCGAGTTTTACTGGAATTCAATTTGTGGATGGAGTGTTGGTCATTCCAAACAAGTCGTCCACTAAACAAAATACTCCCATTGATCTTTCCAAAATGACAAGTGATATGGCTGAAGTGAAATTAGGACATGTGTATTTGGTTAAGATTAGTAGAGGCAATGAAGATACTGCACTTTTCGCGAAATTCATGACCACCTCGGTTGTAACTGATAACAATAACCAAATTCAAACAGTAACCATGAGACATCAAACCATGTATGTCTATGTTGATCCATCTTCTGGCAGAGGTAATTGCAAAGCCATGGAAGACTCTTCAGTTTCTACTGAAGCTGAAACTGCCATCAGCTTGTCAGTGATTGCGTTATTAGTTTCCATTATTGTTGGAGTTGGAAATGTGGTCTTTTTAATCTACTATTGTGCATTTGCCACTAAAAAGAGAGGTGGAGTTTTTACCAATCTTCAATAAATTTGTCTTGTTAATGTTCTTCACAAGCCTGTGGATCCTCATTGTTTGCTTGGACTTGTTTCTGCACAATCTTGGTTTGTTTCCCTTGTTCGCATAGAGGGTTTGTTCAGGTGGATTGAGAAATAAGGTCCAAATGATAAAACTTCATCAAGATTGCTATGATAAAAATGTTTATGAGCTCATCAAGTTGTCAATCCTTGATGTACTAAAAAAATCCATTTAAATTTAGCCAATTATTATTGTCAACTCTGGGGTTGCCTTGCAGTTCCAAAGAAATTAAATTCTTGAACCAAGCGTTATTAGAAATATAATCAATACCTTCATGGTCAATTCTATTGCAGCTGAGATCCAAAGAGATCAAATTCTTTAAACATTCGCTATTGACAATATATTTAACACCTTCATTGTTAATTTCATTGTAATAGAGATCCAAAGAAGTCAAATTAGTTAAACATTCGCTATTAGCAATATATCTGACACCTTCACTGCCAATTCTATTGTGTTTCAGGCTCAAATGAGTCAAGTTCTTTAAACATTCACTATTAGCAATATATTTAACACTTTCATTACCAATTTCATTGCCTTTCAGCTCCAACGAAGTCAAATTCTTTAAACATTCGCTGCTAGCAATACATTCAACACATTCTTTGTTAATTTCATTGAAGCCCAAATTTAAATTAGTCAAATTGTTCATATATATACTCTTAGCAATAAATTTAACTCCTTCATATCCAATTCTATTCTTGACAAGCTTTAAATAAGTTAAATTCTTTAAACATTCACTATTAGCGATATATATAACTCCTTCATTGCCAATTCTACTGAGAAGAAGATTCAAAGAGATCAAATTCTTTAAACATTCACTGTTAGCAATATATTTAACACCTTCGCTTCCAATTTCATTGAAACTCAGATTCAAATAGATCAAATTTTTCAACCATTCACTATTAGCAATATATTTAACACCTTCACTGCCAATTCTATTGTGTTTCAGATTCAAACAAGTCAAGTTCTTTAAACATTTGCTATTAGCAATATATGTGACACCTTCATTGTCAATTTCATTGTATCTAAGATCTAAAGAAGTCAAATTCTTTAAACGTTCACTATTGGCAATATATTTGACTCCCTCATTACCAATTTCATTGCCACCCAGATTCAAACAAGTCAAATTCTTTAAATACTCACAATTAGCTAAAAGTTTGATTGATTCAGACACTTGTTTTAAGAGATTTTGTTGGAATGATAATGAGAGAGGAATTTGAAATGATACTTGTCTCCATTGTTTTGAGATTTTCATACAAATTTGAATAATAAATAATGAATCAAGGAAATGAAGAATTTCAAAAATGATATCATCCACAAATGGTCCATGGTTGCTACGGTTGTCGTTGTTGAAGTGGTTGGAATTTATCATCGGAGAGTAGGAAGCATCTATTTCAGAAATATGATTGATCATGGTTGAATGTGTTGCTTCAACAACAGATACTGAGTCGAGTTTTCTCTTTTTCATGGCTCAACAAACAGAAAGACTGGATTGTCCACAACCGTCGAATTGTGTTTTTTTGTGTTTTGATCAAAAAAATCTATTGTAATGTTAGGTCTTACAAGATGCAACGGAAATAAGAGATATTTTGCTCATCTCCTGAGTGAACCCCGAGGACTGGATGTTGTAAAAGGACCGAAAGAAACACCAACGAAACACATGAGCTCTTGAGTTTTTTTCTTAATTTTGTTGCATCCCATCAGATTAGAAGCTTAGCCACGTTTTTCTGATGATGTTATGCAAGGTTCCTTCATTTCTCTCTGTGCAGAAGCAGGAAATAAGATGCTGCAGGCAATACTTCAATGAGAGCCCGTTAGAAAACAATTAGACAATTTTGTTGTTGGTTTACAATAAAGGTTATTTACAACAAAAAGATTTGAAAATTTTCACAATGCTATAAATCCCAATAATGATCATGTAAATGGACAATCCACAATAGAGAGGAGCCAATACCAAGACATATCTAAATGTCACAAATGAATCCAATCTCAACGCAAGTAAAATGAGAGAACAAGTGAACGGACTTAACACAATCACAGTCAGAGGAAAGGGCGAAAGAATGGCAAGAATGGTTCTTGTTTGAGACTGAAATCCATTGTAAAATATCCTTGTCGTGTAGAAGGGAATGAGACAAATGTTGGTATGTAGCAGTAAAAGACATAGAAAAGAGGGTGACAAGACTACACTCCACTCGACCATTTTCATGAAAGGTAAATTATCCATTTTCAAGCTCGATAAAAAGAGTGAGGATGTTCCTGACAAGTAAATCATCCACATATTAATGGCTAGATAAATGATGGTTAATAATTTTCCCCATGTACGTTTGCTGGGTACTGTCAATTTCCACACACGTAATAAGCGATAAGTAAAATCCATAGCAGCAATAAATATAAATATATATACAGGTATAAAGAAAAATCGCCATGTAGTTTGTCCATTAAATGCTACCAAATGTAAGGCAACACAAAATATCAACACTGAAAACCATATAAATTGAGAAGGTAAACATAATAGTAACTGGTAATTGGGCTCGTTCACATTGTTTTGCATTTCTGGTGAGAAAAATAATCGTCGTAAAATGACTAGAGCAATACTTGTTTCCGCATCAGAGTCAGTATCTTCGTTAGGGCGCAATAAACTTTTGCTTTCGTCACTGGCCTTAATTTGGTGTTTTCGGTAAAGAGCTAAGCAGCAATTGGATACGTATGGTATCCATCCAAGAAATAAATAGGTAGATAAGATAAACACAAAAAATATGGGGAGCCATATAAAGGAGAATCCCACAGGACTCACCACAATCAGTGTATCTGCTTGTTCTTTCTCCACAGATCCATCAAAATAGAGTCCTCCAAAAACTAAGCTTAGTGTGATGAAAACTAAAGTCACAAATGAAAGCATACAGAGTTGGAAATAAAGACAAGGTTGACATCTCTTACTGAGTAATTCGTCAATTCGATCCTCTGCTCTCTTTCCTCTCTCCTTTTTTCTCACTGTTTTTGAGTGTTGCTTGTAGAGTATGTATTGATGCTTGAGAGGTAGGCGCTTTTGTGATGTAGATCCATAGCTTTCCACGCTCTTTTTTGAAAAAACTCCACTGGCATAGGATTTGTTTGATGAGCTCGACGAACGGCGACTGTGGATCATCTTGGTCACGTTATCATTAATGGAGCCAATTTGAATGGAATGTAAATCTTCCTCACTGAAAGCTAAATCATCTTCAATCGTTAGGGAATCTCCAGCTTCATTGAGACTGTCATCATCTCGAATAGCAGTATTGTTGTTACTGGTATTGTTACTCTTCCAGAAAATGCCAAAGAACCCCCGTCTTGGCCCGTTCGACTTGGAATTTTGCCTTGAGCCCTTCTTCTTGAAAGAATTTAGTGGTGTATAAATGTTATCTGCATCGCTGAAATTGTAATTATATTCACTATTGTCAATATCTAACTGGTAAAATACAGTTTGCATTTCCTTTCGCTCTCTCGTCGAAAGCTTCATAATATAACATTTCCAAAATCGGTCTTGTATTGACAAGTAATAATATTCCTTGGATGTTAAACCAAAGTTTAAATTGTCGTGCATGGGCATAAATGAAACAATAATTCCAATTTCGTCTTTGGACAATTTGTGAAAATTATGTACATATTCAGATGGATCAATCCAAGCAGAGTGAGTGTGACACTCCTGGCCAGATCTACTTGCTGTCATTAAAATTCCACCAGACAGCTCTTCATCTTCCATCCCACTTTTGAAAAAGCTTTTTTTTTCTTTGGCTCCCTCGACATAGAGCTGTCTCATGGCATTAATTGCATGATAATTAAATTTTTCATCCTCCTGCTCATAAACTCGCAACATGGTTGGGGAGGTGGGAGGCCCTGCTGTTGGAATGTCATTGACATTGGATCCAATTGTTGACAATCGGCGAGAGGTTTGTGTTGTTGTTGATTGTGCAGAAGTATGGTGATCTGTATTGGTAAAATAAGAAGATTGTAGAGTCACAGGAAGAGGTGGAGAAATGCCATGCTGATGATGTGAACGAGATTTGTCATCTTCTCGCTCTCCAATAGTTAAGCTTGAAGATTTCGTAGTGTGAAATTCATCCATGTGAATTTCATTGTTATTATCATTTCTTGAAGAAGGAGTTGATGAAATATAGTTTCGTTCTTGGGAGTTACTTTTACGGTGGTGTTGATTGGGTTGTTGTTGATTCAAAGGAGGAGAATCCAACAATTCTCTATGATTGACACGATGATGATTCATTGTTGTGTCATCATGAGGTCTTCCGACAGCATCCTGAAGTGAATAAACCTCTTCTTCTTCATCGTCCATCACAGAATAGACATTCATCAAGGATGAAGAGGCTGCTGATGAAGAGCCTCCTTGGCTCGTAGGAGCTGCTGCAGCAACAACAGAAAGGCCATGCTTCTTTTTGGAAGAGGAACCCGACGATGATGTGAGGGTGGTTGTGGGATGGTGGTTTTGGTTGATTTTGGAACTGGATGAGAAATGGTTGTTGTTGTTGGGCAAGGATGAAGAAGAGCCCGATGATGACGAAGTAGCCGTTAATTGAGATAATTTTCGGTTATGTGCTTGTTGATGATTGTCTTCTGTTGCATCATTGGTTTCATTTCCGCTATTACTGTATTTTCGTGCTTCATGATTCAGCATGGTTATTGTTTGTTGGTATTAATAATATTATTCTCTCGGGCTTGTCCAACAATATAATTCATAAATTTTGGTATACGAGGTTTTGGTTAATTATCTTGATAATGTGTTGAAGAACCCAACAACAACAATTAAACTTGTTCTTCCGTAAATAATAACTACTACTGATGATTCATGAATCCAAAATCCTTTTGAAAATGTTTGATACAGACAATTGGTGGTTGTTTTTCGACTATTTTTATTTATTAACAATAAAAGGTACACCAAGCTTTGTTCAACCCCTCTTTTCAAAAAGGTCTCAGCTTGGGTTTTCTCTTATTTCTTTAGCATGTTGGGTTGTGAGTTGGTTTTTACGGATTTGTTGGATCTATTGGCCGCGCTGTCTCGCTCCGATTCGCTTAAATTGTCAGCACTGATACTGCCAAGAGTTCGAGAGAGAGGTTTTGTTATTTCCAGTGTGACAGAGCTGCTAGTTTCGTCGAATGTTTGCGATTTACTGTCATCATTGAGGCCACTTTCTGAACCAGGAATAGGAGATGGATGGTGTTTGGCAGCCAATAAATAAGTTTGCATTTTTCCTTTGCCTTAACAATTTGAAATCATGAAGCAATAAGTGTGAAAGATTTAAGGGAAAAAAAATTGCATGATATGCCACACATACCTTTCACTTCTATTGGCTCTCGTTCTTCAAATTGATATCCTAAATCGTAAACTCTCTCATAGCAGGAGCGTGATATTTGTACACGGCCCTCAACACCAGTACTCTCCATTCTACTAGCAGTGTTTATGGTATCCTTTTAAAAGGTTACAAAAGTATTACAAATAAGAATACGAAAAGATCATCAATTTCACTTACTCCCCATAAATCAAATGCAAACTTCTTGGTACCAATGACTCCACCTAAGTTATGCGAAATACGATTGTTATTAATTGCAACAACAACAACAACAAATTCATATACATACCAACAGCCGCTCCCGTGTGAATTCCTAAATGATTTGCGCTACACTTAGACCTGTTCCTTTCATTAAATACTTACCTATACGAACATTTACTTTCTTTTTCTTTTCCTTATTATACTTGTGAAGAAAAGTAAAAATATCTATGCAGAATTTTAACATTCGTTCTGGATGATCTGATACTTTGGATGCATAGGCGCCACCAACACAAAAATAAGCGTCACCACTTTCATTGTTCATTGGGTAATTATATAATTAGGGAGGATACAATCCATAGATGAATATTCTACCCATATCTCAAAATACTTACATGGTCTTAATTTTATCCAAGCCGTGCTTATCTGTCAACAAATCCATGGATTCTACAATCTCATTCAACATCAAGACCAATTCACTTGCCTCCATTTTAGAACTCATCTTAGTAAACCCGACCATGTCACTGAAAAAAACTGATAAATCAGGAATCTTCTCATAAATATTTCTTTCGCCTTCCATCAATCGAATGGCCACAGGCTTGGGTAAAATATTTAACAACAATTGCTCACTCTTCTGCTTCTCTTCTTGAATGAGAGAATTTTGCTTCTTTTCCATGGTGATGTCTCTGAAAAAAAAGGTCACAATGGGCTTCTTTTGGAAGTACGTCAAGCAAATGGTTACCTTTGCAGGGAATGTCGTCTTGTTCTTCCTCAGACAATTAGTCTCCAAAATCTCACTGCAATATGAGTGAGAAGACATCATCCCATTCAAAATTTTCTTAATTTGTGAATGACTTTCAGTTGAAAATGTGATAGAAATATCCAGTCCAAATATCTTTTCCGTAATGTATTATATTGATCAAGATGTTAGAAAATGAACTTTAAGTAACAATGATGTGATCACTCTTACCTCATTTCGTTTGTGCATGAACATTTCTTCGGCTGATTTGTTAAATTCTTGAATAGACCAAGTGAGGTCTTTTCCAGTCTGTGAGCAAAGTGCCACTCCGTCAACAGCTGCACTTAATATAGATCTTGTCATGGAGAATGGATCGTCCAGGTTGTTATTTGCTTCAGCGTTTTTTCCTGCCCGTTCTGTGTTCTTGAGCTTTGAATACATCTTGTTCATGAATTGATAGGTATAGCCACTAATTTCGTGCGATAACACATATTCTTTCAAGTGGTCATGAGTTTCAATCACACTCCAATGAATGTAATTTAACAGAGTTCTCATCGCATGTTTTTCGTTCCAAAAAGTCTGCAATGAATTATATGAAAAGTAAAAGAGAACCAATAATAACGCCGTTCCAGTAAATGCACAGACATAAGTAATGATAACGGATGGTGACTTTGAGAGATTCACAAAGGTGGAAATAAACTCAAAAATCTTTCGTGAAAAGGCCACGCTGTAATAGTATATGTGTGAAAAATATATTTCAATAGAAACTTCGGATGAAAGCTGGCCCGAGAAGAATTCTTGAGTGAGTTCTGTCAGATGTGAGCTGATGATGTCGATTAGATCCTCCATTCCTAAACAGGCTGCGTTAGAGTATTGGCTCAAAACGGCTTGCAACTCCTCTGATTCAACCTCAGAAGCATTGTAAGGAATTGGGGACTCGAGCTTTGAAGTTACATTGGAAGACACGTTGGAACAACCTCCTGACAATAATTGATCTATTTCAGGAAAAACATGATACACAGCAGACTTGTAGTTTTGGCTTTCCATTCCTACTGTAAGCGAGCGCCAAGTACTAGTTGCAGTAATAAGCTGTTCTTGATTGACTCGTTTCAATTCAGAGAAAGTACTTGAAACAAGCCTGCTCCTTTTGGCAATTTCAACAAGGTTAAAATTAGCTAACATGATACTTTTGACCACTGTGTTCAAACTGTTCGTGGCCATCATTGTGGTTTGTGCTTTTTTAGCATTGCTATTGTACTCGACAATGAGCAGAATCCAGACAATGACCACAATTGCAACCACTGCAACGGTCATGGAGGAAAAGAGAACCTGAGGAGTGAAAACAGCAATTCTAACCTTATGAAGATGTGTGTCTTCAATTTTTTTCGCAAAACTGTGATAAACTTTGCCTAATACGAGTATTACAGCAGAATGTTGCAACAAACAGTTAAACTTACCAGTTTCATCATTAGGAATTCTCCCAAAAACAGCAGAAATCAATCGATTGATTTGCAGCAATTGCGTTCTCATAACAGCAATGTATATCATTACAAATATTACATAGAGACCTAACACAATTCCATAAATCGAGTGGAATATGATAGATGATTGTTGAGTAGTGGTTTTGGTTCCTTCTAAAAACGAGACACAAAACGAGTCAAATGCATTTGCGGCAACATCCTTGTTCAAATAAATCAAGAGGAAATGGTAATTAGCGATTGTTTTGTTAAATTCATGCCAATCATTGAGCATTGCCATAATATCTTCGCCAGAGTCAACCAATAAATCAACAAAGTCACCAATGGATGCGTTAGAGACATCATAAATTGGCATGAGGGATTCATCAGCTTGCTATTGAATTGTTTTTTACATGATCATTTCTGTCTTTTGAAAACTATGTCAGTACTTACTGCAACTGGAACAAAATATTTCCATTCAACGTTTGTGTATGTTTTAACAACTTGGTCAATAAATTCACCGCTCGTTGAGGCTTCTTGGACATCATGAATTTTTTTGAAAAGGAATTCCATTTGATGCTTTGCAATAATTCTGATTTGTGCCAGCTCAATCTTATCAATTTCATGGCTAGCCATGTTCAAACGAGCTTGAACTGCTCTAATCTCGATGTTCAAAAGATGGGGAATTCCGCTCAATGAACAAACTTTCTCTTGTAACGAAATTTGTTTGGAAAAATTTTCTAAGAGCAGCAACGAAGTAACCAAACAAGTAGCAATAACCAAAGTTGATAACACGCAAAAGATAGCAAACCAAACTCGAAAAGAGTTCAAATCTTCTTTTGTGTTAATAGCAGCTCTGTAAAATTGTTCTTTCTTTTCATCTTCATTCCCGGCTACACTGACTGACTCCCATTTGTCTTCATCTGTAGGTTTTTCATCCATAAAATCTTGTGCAGGGTAGCCTTCAGCTGCTGGCTGTTGTTCCTTTTCGTCAAATAGCTCTAATGAAGACCGTACTGCGGGGACAATTTTGTTTTTTGCGATGGGTTTTTGTGGATTCGTACTTGTCTTCTTTTTCTCTCGGCGTGCATCTTCTTCTTCTAACATATTCGCTTCTTCATATAGTTGCTGTATGTGTGTATGTGTACAATTCCAATAATTAATGAGACGTCTTAATACCTACCTTAGCTGTTTCAGTTTCCCATCGACAGGTTTCCAAAAAAGATGCATATGCTCTCAATAAAGTCTTGTTATTTTTGTGAGTAAGAAACATATTTCGAAAAATATTGTCGCAATCGTTCAGTAGCTTGCAAATGGTTCGATTGATGTTATCTAACTTGGTCAAGGACGGTTTTTCTAACAGCAACTCCTTAAAGAATTCTCTGTGGAAATACATAACTACTTGTTGCTTCTTGTCGACATTGGTCAATTGTTGCTTGAGCTCAATGTTAAATGTTTTTGCATTTGAAGCATTGGTTTCTATTTCTTTCATTCTCAATACAATGTGATATTTTTGAATGATCGATGGAGCTTGTTTTACAGCTCGTGATAAATTAGAGATGGCAGTCACTGTGTTCATGAGATGATCATCTTCCGCTCCAAAAAATCCAAAATATAAAGCGCTCAATATTAGAAAATCTACATCAAGCAGTGCCTTATTAGACCCACATTTGGTAATAAAAGCATTAGCAATAGAAAAATCACTTTAAAAGAATTCCAAAATTCCCGTTTTTAACACGCATGTTTTGGATGATTGAATCACCAATTTGTAGCCATTGTTTGAAGTTGAAACATTAATTATATATTACACATTATTGAACCAATTTGTAGCCATAGTTTGATGTTAAAATTTTAATTGTAAAGCATAATCAACTACTCACCTATCTTCTCTTGTTTCAAAGCTTGAAAGGGAAAATTTGATAAAAGTATTGAGGCGCTTCATTTCTTTCATGTTGTCGAATTGATTATAAATTTGAACAGCAGCAGATTTTGATGCTCCCTTATTGTTAAAATATTCTAACAATGGTTTTCTTGCCCAAGACAAGATGACTCTCAAGTAAATTTCACTAGCAATAAATCCAATGAGAAAAGCAAAAAAGAACGCTGCTAAAGTGGCTCCTGTGATAGCTCCTCCAATAGATTCTACATCATTGTTGCCAGTAAAGAAACTGGAAACAAAAGGTCCTAAAGGACCAATCACTTTGCAGCTCATAATTCCAATCACAAATGAATTTTCCCACCTCTTGTAAAAAGGAAGAGCCTTAACAAATAAGAAACAAGTGACAAGGCCCAACACAATTTTGATACATGACGATACAATCAAATACTGAGTTCCACAAATTGTAGTCACAATTACACTTGCCATGTTCGTGAGAATCAAAACAACGAGTGGATGTTCTCTCTCCATTGCAAATAGTACATATTTCATGGGAGGTGGTATGGTTTCAACCGAAATAAACGCTCCAATCACAACCACAATCATTGATAAAATACATCCGACAATTCCAATCACCATGAATGCAATATTCATGGACGATAAAACACTCACATGAGGAAAGTACACGAGGACTTGTTGCGTAGAATGATTCACAGATAACGGCACACAATGCACCCATGCAATGAACGGAGAAAAAACAACAAATAGAGTTGCTACCCATCTCAATACTCGTCGAATTTGTGGAAGGGCTGCATGACCTCGATCCGAGAGCAATCGGAACGCATAACAGAGAGAAAGAAAACCCAGTTCTACTGCAACAAAGACGCATGAAAAGGCAACAATGACCTCATACGGGTAGTGTTCTAAGGCAAAATTCACGGGATAAAACAACGCTCTCCAAATCCATCCTCCAACCAGGCCCCAATTTCTCTGAGAGCTCGTCGTGTTACTACTACCATCATCATTATACAGAAATAGGCTTGAATAGGACGATACAATCACGCTCACGTAAAACACATAGACGTACAAAAGAGCATTCAGGAGGGCCTCTTTTCGGTTAGAAATCTTGGAAGTTTTCGTGTTTAAATTCACTAAAAACACAAAGAATTGATCTCTCACTTTGCTCATGGTACCTGTATTGGTGAGAACGGACGAAGATTGATTGGAAGTTTTGCTGGTTCCCGAATCAATCATGGAACCAGCCTGGTCATGGGAGTCCGGATATTCACTCTCATAGGAAGCTTGCACCGAATAATTATTATTAGTAGCGTTGTTGAAAGAAAATCGGTTGTTCATGCGTGAGTACGAGTGTGTATTTGTGTGGGTATAGTATTGAATAATCTCAATGTTGAATCACAATATAAAATTACTCTAAAGGTTGTTGGTGTTAAGGCGCTCGGGGTGGTTGTTCTGTACCGAGTTTTGTCAAGATATTTTTCAAGAGCCTCACTCGGAATCTTATCCGGACGCAATACGAGGATCTTTGTTTGGAATGGCGTTTTTGGGCTGGCCAACCTTCAAAAGTCTCCTCCTGTCATGTCAGGAGGATGGTGTAAATTTTCCCACCAACCAGCCAAAAGAAAAATGTTTGCTCCAGCTCCTTTGTCAAAAGTTTGTCTCATCGTTGGCGATGCATCGCAGGGCAAGAATCAATCATCGACGGTAAAATCGTTGAATATGATGAGATTATTTTTGATATCTTCAATCGGACAAAGTGTTTAATTTTCTAAATCGACTGTTAATTGACAATAACTCGGTTGGCAGCATGTGACATTTTTTTCAGGTCAAATCCAGCTCTCCATCCTCGTCCTCTGCCACACTCGAACCTCGAATTGCGTTCTCAAGCTTTTTTCTAATGTACAAGAGAATTTGCTTCGACCATTCATCGAGTTTGGCCACCTCAAGTGTCTTTTTCACAACACGTAAGAAGACTTTCAAATCTCGTTCCTTGAAAGACTTGTAGACCCCGACCAACAATTCAAACTCTCTACTATTTCCAAAGCTTTGACCTCTCTGTTCAAAATTTTCCAGTTCCATCCAGTACAAATCCAAATCATCGTCATCATAGTCGTCCTTCATGCCTGCCAATCTTGTCAATAAGCAGTAAAACATGTATTTTGTTTCCAAGTGTCGTACCAACGATGCTTGTCCCGTTGTGGAGTTACCTCTGTTCCATTCTGAATTCAAAATTTCTTCCCATACTTTGCTTGATTCCAAATAATCATTCACTCTCACATACAAATAACCAATTTGTTCCAAGCACGCATTGACTGTGGCATACGCTTGTTGAAATTCAAACAACTCGACGGCTCTTCGATAAGCCTCAATCGCCAAATGCAAAATATCAATATCTACAATCGATTCCTCGCTCAATTTCTCTGCAATGGCTTTTTCTTTGCGGGCAGCTTGTGCTGTCTGACCGTTCTCGTTGTACAAGGCACTTGCTCGTTGCAAAGCATGGAGTGATTTCTCAAACGTATCTTTTGAGTGATCAAACATGGCATCTTGCATGAAGGCTTCACTGGCAATGGAGAAGGTATTTGCTGCCCGTGAGGGCTCTCCCATCGCTTCAAAACACTCACCCGATTTCATATAGGCCTCTCCTGCCATCGAATACATGTTACTCTGCATGTAAATCTCCGCTGCTTGATCAAAATACTTTTGAGCGTCCTTATTCCGATTTCCAAAATGAAGTTTCTTGGAGAGTACATTTTCAGCTTTCTTCATCAACCGATCGGCTGAGGTACATGAGGTCGCACCAACACTTGTGTTGTTTGAGGCAAGTTCTTCGAGTAAGGAAGTGGACATTTTTTTTTGAACGTTTTCCTTAATGCAATGTTGCCAATTGTTTTCATGAAAAAGAGATGGTATGGAATAGAGCGACTGGAAGACTAGAAATATTATGAACAATAGTGTATATATATACATGGTGTAACAACAATAAATGTTCACATAATGATATCGATAGATTAGCAAATTGTTATTATTAAAATATTGAATATTTCGTCTATCTCTTAATGACACCAGCCAAGGATAAACCAAGTGGAATACCAACAGCTAATAAAATTGCTAATATCACTGTGAAAATAACAATGACAATGATGATAATCACGAGACATTTTCTGCTTCGTCCTTGATTCTTTCGAGCATTCTTAATATCCTTAATACCTTTTTCGACATATTCTACAGTACTGGCAACATTGTATTCAATATTGTCCATCAATTCATCTTGTTGTTCAACCAAGAGAGCAAAATCCATAAACATTTGATGCAATTGTCTCAGTGAGTACTCGATTTGTTTCAAGTCATCGTGAGTTTCTGTTGCTTCATTGTAGTAGGCATCGAGTGTGGCAGTTTGTGTCGATGTGAGACCATCCATGGATTGTTGAATCAGGTCACTTGGATTCAAAGTATTTTTCTCAACCATTTCATCGACGGTTTTGTTAAAATCTTCATCATTGCCATTTCCCGAGCTCGAGTTGACAATTTTCAAAATACGCTTCAATCTATTCTTGTAGTTGGATTTGAATTGTTGTTGCAAATCTTGATATAAATTCAAGACACTGATGAAATCCTTTGTGAGCAATGCATGTTGTTGTTTACGAATTCTCACAGCAGGTGAGTTTGCATTTTCTTCGTGTTCAATTTGTTGAGTTCTATCATGCATATTTCTCAAATCGGTTTGAATCTTTTGAACACTACGACCAGTTTCTTCAATCAACATTTTTTGGCGTTGTTTCAATGTTCTCTGTTCCTCCGCAATAATGGCACTCAAGTATTGATTGTAAAGTTTTTGCAACTCGCCAAGTTTGGTCTCTGTTTTTTGAATATTTTCTCTAATTTCTTGAACTTCACTGTAATATTCTTCCATGAATTTGCCCAATTCTTTAGTGTCATCACTGTGGGCAGTGTGGTCAATATTTTGATCTTCCATTTCCACGTTGAGATTGGAATAGTGTGGCCGACGTGCCAAGTCATTAAATCTGTCAATCATGTTGTTTGTGTGGTGATTGAGGGGTATTGTGAGTGTTTGTTTTTTTGTATTAATATAAAAATATAGAATGAACTCCAAAGAGATGATTATGGAGTGATGGCCACTAATGTTATTTCAATCGAATTGATGGGTTTTGATTTTGTTGTTGTATACATTAAAAACGTTGTGTGAACAATTGTATAAAATTAATTATCGACAAGTGACAGTGACCATGATGAAACTCCACCAAGAATTTTCGAAAATACATACATTTGTTGATTTCGGTTTGATGATGGGATGATGTTGGGAGCAACCGAGAGAAAACCTTGGCTGATGAATGTAATATTTTTTTCGCTAATGACCTGTCAAAAGTCGGGCGGGAATGGAAATTTGGCCATTTTATGAACGTCTTCTTCAAATTCGAGTGTTAACGTTAAACACTGTCGTTGGAAACTATGGTTGAATTAGAAAATGGATATCACAAAATTGTATTCAAAAAGAATGGAATTATCAATCCATTTATTGTTATTATCGGCCGTACAAAACCTAAAAAAAATGTCTCAACCACCCAACAGTTCTGAAAAATCCGAGATCGGAACTCAAACCAATTCTCCCTACAAACATTTCAAAATTCTCTCGTATAATTTATTTATGAGACCTCTCGTAAAAACCAATGCAAGTGATTATAAAGATGCAAGGCTTGAAGAGCTCATGATCGAATGGAAGAGTCGAAAAATTGATATTTTATGCTTGCAAGAATTATTCTCAACCGCGAGTAGTCGATCTTCTCGAGTATTAGATGAATTTTGTTGTAAAACAAACAGCAGAATTGTCATGTCAAATGACGATGAATCAAGACATGACTATTTTCATTATGTTCATTTACAACAAGATTATTGGAAATTGAAGCCCATTGATTCTGGGTTATTTATTTTAAGTCGAGTTCCAATATTAGAGAGAGATGCATTCATATTTTCGCAAGGTTCCGATATTGATGGTTGGACCACGAAAGGAGTCATCTATGCACTCGTTGATTTGAGTGAACCAATTTCTAAAAAGACAACAAATCATCAAGAGAAAATCAAGACGAACAAATGTCTCATATTTAATACCCATACTCAAGCAAATTATGATTTAACAAATGTCAACTATTGGAAAATTCAACAATCTCAAATTATTGAGCTGGCACTATTTGTGAGTGAGAAAATGAAGCAACATCCAGGAGTACCTGTTTTGCTCTGTGGAGATTTTAATGTGGATGCAAGAAATCGACAAGAATGGTATGAATGGATGGTAAAAACCATGAATGACATTATTTCGGATGAGAATGTACGAATCGAAATGGAAAAGGATTATCCATTAATACGAGCACAAACTGTGGGACTTGATCAAACAATTGAAAACAATCATCATGAATATACAGTCAACAATCAAGAACATGCAATCATAGATAACAATGACTCATCATGTCATACATTGGTGCATGACATTATTTTGGAACATTACAAACATCATCCCATAACATTTGGAGACGTTATTATAGATGAAGAAACGCACCAGGAAAAGCCACGAGAAATTCATCTGTCCCATCCTCATACACTTTGTTCCAAACAACGACTCGATTATATTTTTCACATCCACAAGAAATTACCAAAGACATGCACAACAATCACACACCGCCTCGAATGTAGCAAGTGCCACATTGAACCATTTTTCAGAATACCCAATCCTGTCATGCCATGCACACAGCTCAGTGACCACTATTCTGTCTATGCAGAATTTAATGTTTTCAGTGACGATGATTCATGAATGAACAATGGCATAAACATCATTTTGAAACCCTTTTGTTTCACAGCTTTGTTTTGCCAACCATCAATGATGAGAAGCATTTCAACATTTTCCATTCAAGCCCCAGATTGAACTCGGATTTTGTTCTGACTCGAGATGAAAACGAAATTCAAGAGTTAAAAATAACTTTGAAAAAAAAAACAAAAATTCAATGGCCAAGAAGAGAGCAGGAGGTAAAAATCACGGCCAAAAGCAATCCCTTTCCGAGTTTGCAGCAACCGTGAATAAGAACCAGACACAATCATTGCCTCAATTTGAAGAGAATTTTGATTTGGAGAATATTGATATTGAACAACAACGTTTGATTTTTGAGCAAATTATGAATGAACAGGCTCAAGCGGGTTCTTGTTCCGATGATAATGATCATCATCTTACAGAAACTTCATGCAGTAATGATGGAAACAACCAATTATCAGTAACCAATCTTGAGGGAGAAACCACCAATTCCACTTCCTACGACAAGGAACCTCTCGAGTCAACTCATGACGATGAAGCCCTTGCTCGCATGTTGCAAGAAGAGGAAAATCTTGCGGCTGCTGTTGAAAGCAAAATTATCATTGGTGGAGGAGGAAGAAAGAGTTTTGTTCCAACTGTCATGATGGCAGCTTCTGGCTCGGAATTTGAAGAGGACTATGATGATGACGAATTTGAAGAGGACTATGATGAAGATGAATACTATCGTTCGATTCGAGGAGATGATAATTTAACTCTCGATGAAGAGAGTGCCATGGATTTGAATGATGTTTATCACATTTCTAATGCCAATGGTACTGGCTTGGCTGGCGATTATGTCAATGCCTTGATGAGAGCCGACACCAAAGTGTTGCACACTTCTCAATTCCGTGACCACAGCGCTCACTCCTTCAGCTCTCGTAGAAATAAGAAGGAAACTATTGAACGTATTCGTAGTGTGGACAAACAAGATGAGAGAACGACTGACAAGGTTCTCGATCATAGAACTAGCATGATTCTTTACAAGCTCATGAACTCTGGAATTGTGACACAATTGAATGGATGTGTCTCTACGGGAAAAGAATCTCATGTTTTTCATGCTACTGGTTGTTTGGATGAAATTACTGGTGACGCTTCTGGAGCTGAGGTTGATTTTTGCATTAAAATCTTCAAGGTTGTTGGTGCCTCCTTCAAACGTATGAAAGACAAGATGAAGGCCAACAGTCAAAAGAACATCAAAATTTATGCCGAGAAGGAAATGAGAAATTTGAAAAAGCTCAATGAGGCTGGCGTTTCTTGCCCAACACCGTATCTCGTGAAAGATCATGTCATTTTGATGAGCTTTATTGGAAAGCAAGGATTTCCAGCTCCTGCTTTGAAGGATGTGACTTTTACAAGTGTGGACAAGTTGAAAAAGGCGTACACTCAAGTCATTACCAACATGAGAAAAATGTATCAAAAGGCTAAACTCATTCACAGCGATTTGAGCGAGTACAACATTTTGTATCTTCATGGTGAAGTGTACATCATTGATGTTTCACAAGCTGTTGAAAGTCATCATGCCAATGCCAAGTCTTTCCTCGTGAATGATTGCAGACACATTAATCAATTCTTTGCCAAGCAAGGGTTGACAACAATCTTGACCGATAAGGAACTCTTTGATTATGTCATTCAAAACGTTGAGGGTTACATGACTGAGGATGAATTACTAGAAACTACTCTTTGTGTTACTGAATTAAGAGATATTTCCATGATGGACCAAACACAAGATGACAAGTATTTTGCGCAAGTCTGTTTGCCTCAATCCTCCATTGATTTTGATGACAATTATCATGCTGTGGCTGCTCATTCTGCTGTTGACATTGTTGAGTAGACACTTCAAAGATTGTTGATCAACACTAGAGGACCAGTGGACATTGTCACTTGTGATGGGTGTACGGAGCTTAACATATTCAGAAAGCTCTCTTTGAAAATGACAATACCTCTTGTCTCTCTTGAAATTTGACAATCAAAGTTTGGTCCATGAATTCTTGACATTGACCTGTGAAAAACCTTTATAGAGGCCACTTTCAGGAAGGACATCTTTGATTGTTTTTTCATCCATGAACATGAGTGAACGGCAAGAGTTTCTCTCTTTGCATGGATTTCTAAACTATCAAATAAACATTCTTTTGAACCTTATTTAAAACCCTTCAGCGAAATAGGGTCCCTCTTTGTTATGATCACTTTTTCTTAGAATGCTGAAACCACAATGAGAGTGCGACTGGCATGATGCCTTCTTGTGACTTGTTGTAGACAAGATGATCAA